TGAGCAACAGTGATGGATTGCTCAGTGTTTAGCTCTGCTGCTGAGTGACAGCTGCTAATGCAAACACTGGCTACGTCTTCATGTAAGCACACATTATCCCCGAACAGCGGCACAATCTGTGGCTTCATGCACATAATATGCACAAATAATGCTTGTGTAGCCGTTTCATTGACTCTCTGGATTCGATTGTGTTTGAAGAAGTTAACTAGGCATTACCGGCTGCCATTGACTCGGATAGAAACTTCATGAGCTGTACTGATGCTTCTGACAATACGCTTTATGATTCATGTTTTTTTTATTCTCGTATGATCAGTCGGCAGTGAGCTGTTGACGGTTGGCCAGGAGAGTCTCACGTTATCGCAGAATTATGTGTCGTGTTATAAATCCATCAGCGTGAAGCCAGAGCATTTGTCATCCGTCTAAGCTTTCTTACTTCATCATGCTCTGCTGTTTCCTCTTGAAATATCAAGGAGTGTATGATTAACTCCAGAGAGATGGAAATTCGACTGGTGCTTATAGCTTCTGGTGTGTAGCGTCATATTGCGCTTTCGGGATATTCCTCATCTTTTCTGTCCCATGTCAAATCACTCATCGGAACCGTCTCAGTGTGACAGGCTTCAGTCTGAGCGGAATGAACAGGGATGCAATTAAATCATAGTACATCACACACCATAGTACATTGGTTTTTGTGGCTTATGAGGACTCTCCATAGGTGTTTTGTTATTCATACTGTAAAAACCATCTATTGTATTAAACCCGAATCAAATAACGCTTTATTTCCAGGTATGTTTATACATAGGAGGAATGTTTTGTGACAGAAGTATCCACAGTGTCATAAAATGACAGTGACAGAAACACAGATAATAAAGATGTTAAACAATAAGTAAATCGAGAATACAAAACTAACAAATGTACAGTTGAACCCAGACGTTTACATACACTGAATAAAAAGGCACATCATTATTTTAAAAAGTCAGATGTTAATGTGACTAAACTTTTTCTCTTTTAGGTAAATTAGGATTATTAAATTAGTTTCTGTTATGCTTATCTTTTCTTGAAAGTCAAGTTTGCATACAGTAAGATTATTATGCCTCTGAAAAAGCTCAGATGATGATGTCAAGGTTTTGGAAGTTTCTGATTGGCTAATTGACAACATTTGAGTTAATTGGAGGCACAACTGTAGAATAGTATTTAAGGAAAACCTCAAACACACTGCTTCCTTGTGTGACAACATGGGAAAATCTAAAAAGCCAGAAACAACAAAAAAGCCATTAAAATTGGCTAAATTACACTGGGAAAAAGACTTCCCAGTGATTTTTGGAGACATGTCCTGTGGTCTGATGGAACTAAGATTGAACTGTTTGGCCATAATGACCAGTGTTACATTTGGAGGACAAAGGGGAAAGCTTACAAGCCTAGGAACACCATCCCAACTGTGAAGTATGGGGGTGGCAGCATCATGTTGTGGGGCTGTTTTGCTGCAGGAGGGACGGGTCCACTTCACAGCATAGATGGCATCATGAAGAATGAACATTATGTAGAAATACTGAGGCAACATCTCAAGACATCAGCCAGGAAATTAAAACTTGGCCACAAATGGGTCTCCCAAACAGGCCATGACCCTAAGCATACTGCCAAATTAGTTAAAATGTGCTTTAAGGACAACAGAGTGAATGTTTTGGAGTGGCCATCATAAAGCCCTGAACTCAATCCTATTGAACATTTGTGGGCAGGGTTGGAAAAGCTTGTGCGAGCAAGACAGCCAACAAATCTGACCCAGTTACACCAATTCTGTTAGGAGGAATGGGCCAAAATTCATTCAAACTATTGTGAGAAGCTTGTGGAAGGACACGTGACGCATTTGACCAAAGTTATATAGTTTAAAAGCAAAGCTATAAAAATACCAAGGAAATGTATGTAAACTTTTGACTGTCTAGGAATTAATAAAAATTCTCAAAAAAATCCTCTTATTATTTTGTCATTTAGCAAATGTAAATCATTTAGGTAATCCTAACAGACCTAAAATGGTAAATGTTTAGTATCCGCTTGTTAAGTGGTGACGTGTTTGTGACGGATGTATACTGTTTCCGGGTCCAAGCTGCCATTCATTTGAGTGGAGAAATCACTCATTTATGATCACGTTTTATTCCTATCACACAATAAAGTTAATTTTACATAAAGTCATAGTGTACACAACAATCTCTGGGCTTGCTGCATTACAAATACCAAAAATTTTACAATTTATAAAAAAGTAATCACTTTCTGGCCATCGGATATTAGGTATGGACATATATACTGCCATCAGGATTTTCGAAAGTATTGAATCGCTTTGTATACGTTTATTATTACCATTTCATGAGTCTCCCCATGCAGTTGAATAGAGCTCTTGGACCCGGAAGCCTCTTCGCGTGACGTCAAACTTAACAAGCGGATGATTTAACACCAGACATTTAAAAAAATTGTTATGTTGTTTTTTTTTAGAGTCAATGTAAACTTCTGGTTTCAACTGTATGTACAGTTATGTTACTATATACTTTTATTTCAGTGTTTCTCAACCATGATCCTGAAGGACCACCTGCACTGCATGTTTTGGATGTCTCCTTTGTCTTTCAAACCCATAACAGCTCTTTCAGTCTCTGCTAACGAGCTGATGATCTGAATCAGATGTGTTTGGTTGAGGAGACCTGGAAATGTGCAGAGCTGGTTGTCTTCCAGGAACCTGGTTGAGAAATACTGCTTCATTGTATAGCCTTGTAATGTACATTTACATTTAAGCATGTAAACAGTGTATGATGAAGCTAGAGGGAAGGGTATGAGGAGAAAGGCTGATCGCTCCAGGAGCTGGATGTGCAGTACAGTAGATTAGAGTTTGTTTATGCTGATGTGGTTTGACTCCTGAAGCGTGTACTGCTTCAGTGATGTCATAGAGCAGGAGGAGCCTACAGCACAGTAGAGCTGCCATGTGCGCTGATTCATTCACTCTTCAGTCTCATGAAAAACATTCACACACTGAGTAAAAATAAGATATTGTAGGAAATGAGTGGCTGTCAGATTCAGTTTGATTTAAAATAATTTAAAGACTTTAAAATGTTTCATATATTTAGTAAGATTTTTAATATCTAGTTTCTCAGCCTTTCTGCTATATATATATATATATATATATATATATATATATATATATATATATATATATATATATGCATATATATATATATATATATATATGTATATATGTATGTATGTATGTATATGTATATATATATATATATATATATATATATATATATATATATATATACATATACACATATAAATATTTATATATATATATAAATATATGTGTATATGTATGTATATATATATATATATATATGTGTGTGTGTGTGTGTGTATGTAT